AGTGGCTTATGCCAGTAATCCCTGCAATTGGGGGGCTGAGTGATAAGGGCCACAGTGAGACTCAGCCTCATTTTAGGAAAGAAAAAAAGGCACAAAATATTAAAAATGTTTAACAAAATGCAACTTGTTTTGATTCTAAATGCCTGCTTCACACTAAAAATGATGGATTTCTAGATTCACTAGGTTCATTAATGCTGAATAGTTTTAAGTAAATTTGGTATTTTAAAAATACCGTTCAAACTTCAGCCAAGATTATGTAAAGATTGTTTTGTATGTGTGATGTTGAGGCTTCCAACATGGTAGGCAAGGGCTCTACCACTGAGGTACATCCCTGGTCGTAAAGCTAAATATTCTTAGATCATGATGGAAAATGAAGACAACTGAACAAGTGATTACTTTCCCCTCAAATGTTAATTGGCCAGTACAGGCTGCAGGGGAAATTCAGAAAACCTCTGACTAGATCATTACCATGATAGTGACTTTAAGCTTACATTTACTATAATGATTGGATGCCTGTGTGTGTCTGTGATAAACTACTTACGACTCAACTCCACATTACTGACAGAAGCCCACAGGCTTTTCAGTGAACAGCTGCACTCACAAAAGCCCTTTAAATCTACAGATGACTATTTCAAGTTCATTTGCTGAGAATCCTTTCCTTGTTCTTAAATACCTCAGGCTTAGAATGCACCAATTTCTGTTTGCAGTAGCAGAAGGCCCCATAACCATATTACTATTGTAACTGGAAGTTTTGACTTGTTGCTTACATTAGGCAGCACAGTCAGTAAATTAGTCTGTTCTATGTGCTAGCACTTCCTCATATGTAGGAGGTGAGGATTCATCATTTGGATATCATTTGATTATCTGGAGTAATCTGAGTTGCTAAATCAGAAAGCGTATAGAAGGCAATTGCATCAAGGTTTTAAAAGTGGCATTTATTAATTGAAAATAAATGTGTTGTAAGTTCTTGATAGCATAGAATTCGTGTGATTTTTTTTTTTAATGAGTTTGATGTACATGGAAATTCCTTGACTCTTGCCATTTTTGTGTGTGTCTGCAAGCACTATCACATTCCAGTGCAGGGAGTGGGGTGTCAGATGAGAGGGATTGTCAGCACTGTATCGAAAAAGCAGAACCCTTCTTTCAACAGCTCTCCCTAGTTTGACAAAACTTTTGGAAAGAGATAAAAGAACCACCACAGTGTTTGTAGAACATTTATTACTATTAATTGGTGATGTGATAAGACATTGTTCAAGTGGCTTGAAAGTTGTTCACAATCACAGCAAAGCTTACTCCAGCCTAGCATATACAGGGCAAAGTAGAAATCAGGGAGATGTGTTCAGGTGTGTGTCAGTATGTATAAAAGTGATGCCGAGCATTTATATAGCTTGAAAAAATATAGGGCCAACTAACGCCATTTTACTTCACTCAACTCTCACTTTGCTCTATGAAAGGTATCTTAATTTCTGTAGGACTTCCGAGGACTAGGTAGGGACATGAAAGGAAAGGGAGCTGCTGCCAAGTTTGTAGCACTTCTAATTGAAAGGAAGCAATGGGGAAGCAAAAAAATAGCTTTAACAAGCACTCCAGAAGGAACATTCATGCTTTAGATCATGACTTTATGTAACACTTTGTGAGGAGAGAAACATACTGTTATGAAGAATACCTGATAATTAACCATCCTACTTAGTTTGGGGCATTGAACATAATTTAGTAGCTACATGATTGTGATTACTAAAACTTCACCTCAGGAGTTGAATGTTCCTTGGCCTTAAAAATTATGTGCTCAAGATTAGGAAAATCTTTGTTCCTTGTCCCACTTATTCAGAATACTTCATTTTAGTGTAAAATAGCATCATTCTAAGTTAGTCCTCTAAAAGCATCGATTCCCTTTGTTTTAATGTGTGTTGAATCCAAATAAGGTTTTTTTTGGTACAAATTTGGCTGCTTAAATTTTCAATAAACTTTCATTTGATGCGTGCTGTGTAGATTTCCTTTCTTCTTACATATACTGAAATACTACTCAAGTCTTTGGTTTCGTCAAACCAGGTTTCACAGAATTTAAGTTTCCTTTTTCAAGTATAGTAGTAAATGTATTTTGCCAGATTGTTGGATATCCATGAATATAGACATATCATTTTTATATATGCACATAATTATGAGACTGACTTTTAAAACTTTAAAATGTCCAAAAGTGTTACTTTTTCTACATCTTTCTAATTTGTATTTATGTCCCTTAATTTATCATTTGATTAACCAAAGTTCCCTTTAAAAAAAATTGGGTAGGCCTGAATGAAGCAGCTTAGCAAAACAGTAATACTGACAAGACATCATCTTACACCATTAGCTAACATGGACATGAGAGGCAGTGACCATCTACAGTATGTGAAATGCCACAAGAAGTCATCAGCAAGGGAGGACAATTATGTCAGTCCAATTTCTTCAAGAACACTACGTGGGGTTTCAGCTTCCTGTGGAGGAAAAATGTGAGACTCTGGTAAGCAGATACAGGGAGAGTTTTAAGAAATGAAAAGCTCACATGAAGGGCATGCTCATTTTAGAGAATGAAGAAGGCAATTCAGGATCACAGGAGCAATCTACTAAGTGACAGCCAGTGGTTTTCAAAGATTTATGCCTAAAACATTGAAGAATGTTTTCAGCATTTACTAAATACCTAATTTCTGACCAGTGAGCTAGGCATCATTGCAATAACAAAAAGCAATCAAGCCCATTGTAAACTGACTAGTAATGTATGAAATTATATACAGAAAATATTATCTAAAATATTGAAATTCAAAATGTCTCCCAAATAAAAGCCCCTCTTTACAATGTCTAGTGAGTCATCTAGCACTTTGATAAGTTTTGCCTTGTCACACATTATCTAGAGAAATGTCTAGGTTTTCTTAACTGTTTACGGCAAATGGTTTAGAAACAGCCACCTTTCTAGTCTTCCCTTGGGCAAGCACTGGTACTGGTGGAGGTGACATACAGAAGAAACACTATGAAACAAAAAGCTTTTTCATCTTAGTGTAAGAATGAATACTTGTTTTTAAGTGTCAAAGCCAAATCACTCAAATCTAAAAAAAGTATGTTAAAAATTTCCAAACTGGCCAATTTTGTACACTACAAAAATAAAAAAGGGACCACATAGGTCAGTGATTAGCTATTACTAGCAATTTTATAATTAAAAATCAACATTGTTCCTTTAATAGATGAAAACAATGTAAGATTTTGTTATCCAATAATAAACTTACTTTTGCATCCTAATCATGAGACAGCACAAAACAAGGAAAGGATATTACATCAGAATTCTTAGAATGTTAGGTTGAATTGCAGGAAATGCACTACATAGTAATCTTAAATGACTTAAAATCTGTTGTCTCCATATTTGGAAAACAAAAAGAGTACTTACCTTCATGTGTTGAGATTGAGTTTAAGGCTCAATGCCTGAGTTAAAGAAAGTGCTTCTAAGTATATTAGCTGATAGACAACTGAAATCTAAATGAAGGGATTTAGCATTTAGTACTAAATACTATAGCCAAAAAAGTTCATAGAATGCCTGTTAGTATGCTTGTCTAGTAATGAGAAATGGGTGAAAATCAGCTTTAGTGAAAGGACATTTTTCCAAAAGGTAGTATGATCTATTAAGTACACTTGCTCCTGCCCCCAACTGAACTTCAATCTGATCAAGTTACAGATCTAAGATGGAGGAGAAAAGAAAAAGGTAAACATTGCCACAAGAATGTAATCACCTAAATAGGAATGTGGGGGAACTGTATGGCATCAAAAAGTCCATTTCTGTTTTTGATGGCAAGGAGTACAAAAACAAAAACAACAGGCTTGCTAAAAGTTGTGACAAAAAGCCTATGAACCATCCAATATAAAATTTCTTTGGATCTAATTTGACAAATTATAAGAAGGCATTTATTCCCCTCTGATAATTAGGAAAAGCTGAGGCAGGCCCAAAACAAAATGAAGGACTTTCCATTTTGTTTGGTGTGGTACTGATCTGCTAGGAATACACACTGAAGCATTAGCGATGAAATGGACACAGTGGGTGTGAAGTTGACAAGTGAGTGCTCTATGGGATTCTGCCTCGTCAGTTTTCATGATAGTTTCTTAAGGCAGTGGAACAATAGTGATGCCAATCTCTTAGGCTTAAAAATGCTTGGCTTTCTTTAACAAATACATGGAGAGTGACATCTGAATCACTAAACTATTCCATACTGTAGGCTCAGAAATGGTTAAAATGGTGAATTCTGTTATTTTTTTAAACCACAATTTGAAAATAGAAAATGTTATTTTATCAAAAAGGATGGAGAAGAAAAAAGTCATTCACATGAGACAAAGTACATGTGAATTTAAAATTAAGTCATTGTAAAACTTCATGCAATCTTATAATATGTTAAAGGATTCCTACACTGAATTCTATACAGTTTATAGTCTCAGCCCATCTAGATAAAAATGGCCCATAACTATTCCCTGGATAATCAGATTTGTCTAGGGTGCTCACTGCCTATTGTCTGAAGAGAATAATGTTGCTTTCTAATATGCATTATTTAAAATATATGTCCTTTGTAAAAGACCTAATTTACCCTTTTTATTTTATTCCTTTAAGACTGGATAAGCTGAATGTTTGTTTAACTGTTAATAATACCAAATGTAATTTTTACAAGTTCCCACTGAAATTGTAGTTCAAAATTATTTAGGGAAATGATTAAAATAGAATGGTTGTTACCAGGGCCTTCCTTCAGTGAGAGAGAAATGGGAAGTGGTTGGCTGACGAGTTATGTAATTTCAGTTCTGCAAGATGAAAAAGTTCTGGAGATCTGTTTGTACAATATGAATATACTTATCACTATTGTAGGCTCAGAAATGGTTAAAATAGTGAATTCTATGTTATTTTTTTAAAAAAATCACAATTTTAAAATTACCTGGAAAAATGAAAATATAAAATGTTATTTTATCAAAAAGGATGGAGTAGAAAAAAGTCATTCACATCAGACAAAGTACATGCAATACTTTATTTTAGACATGCAGGTAAAGCTATTTCAGAATCTGCTAATTTGAAGCAAGCAGCTGTATACAGATACCCCACCCCCAAAAGCGCAACATTTTGTTACAGCTCAGCACACAGCATCCAAAACAAACAGGCATGAGACAATGCATATTTATGCAACATTAAAATCAGATGAACAACATGTAGGGTGGGAGGATGGGAAAAAATGGAAATGAAAGACCAATGTTTTGTGATGCTTCAGATGGTAATGGAGATAGTTCATCTATACAGCTGCCTAATAACTACATTTCTTATAATGTTTTCACAGATCTTTTAGTGGGAAACTGGTTTGGGTAGTTTTTTGGCATATTTAATTTTTGTCTTTTGAGACAAGGACCCTCTAGGTAGCATAGTAATTCATCTTCCTCTTGCCTCAATCTCCCAAATGTTACTAAGATGACAGGTATACACTACCATGCCTCTGAAGTTATTGCTTAATGATAATTTACTTAGGCTTTAAACTCTGAACAGTGAGTTATCTGGTAGTTTTTATAATAAAATATGCTAAGTGTTATTAAAATTTTTTAGTATTTCAAAAATATACAACCATAGTTAACACAGCACTGAGTGTTTAGAAGGCTTAATATATTAATTAGGAAGCCATTAACTAATAAAATAAAAATATTTGGATATTGAAAATGAATATAAGAATTTTTGTATCATATAAGTAGGCTCAGTATTACTGCTTTAAAAGAGTTGTTACTGAGCAACAGACATTTCAGGAGACTTTTGACATAGCTTTCCGGTAGTTCTTAAAGGGCCTGTTTGACACTGCATAAATGTGGTTCAACATATATTGACACTACAAAATTTCTTGAAAATTCAATGTTTTAACCTTACGCCTTATATAATTGTAACTGATCTTTTCTTTCTTTTATTGCTTCAACATACACTTTTCTATGATAGTTAAACATATTAGCTCATACAAACTGTAAGATAATCTTAGTGTTAAATAAAGCTTGGTTTTCTTCAACAGTGGACTAAATACTGTGATACTGCTAATTTTGCCTGAGTTCTTAACTGTATTTTCTTTGGTAAATTTGTGATTGCCCAGCCTTTCTGTTATACTCTCGTAAGATTAATTACAGATGGTTTCCTAATGAAAACTTGTATGTGTTTAGGATATTAAAATATTCACAGTCATATTTTGTCAAGAAGAAACAGTGGTAGACAGAAATAAACTACATATCAATATCATATACAGAATGAAAATGGAATTAGGAATGTGCACAAAAAAAATACAGTCACAAAGGTACTAGCTCTAAGATTTTTTTTTTATCTTTTTACAGGAGAATTAGTCACCAAGCTGAGGACATTTTCTTTCATAAGTATATCAGTTCTCTATTTCCTCTGAAATTCTGCATAGTCGATGAGCAGTCATTTAGTACACAGGGACATTAAAATATTCATGGCGTGGCTACAAAAGAAATGCATATATTCTTATACACAGTATACAAGCTGATGGAGACACAATCATATTTTGAGATTGTTTAGTTCACAGTAAAGTTATCTAAAGCATCAAGTTTGCTTTTGTTCTTTGGTTTTTGGCTGAACATTTATGTTCTTAAAAAATGCCCAGTTCAGATTTACCTTTTTTCAAGTCCACACTATGTAACAGTAAACAAAATGACCTACATTCTACAGAATCCTAAAGCACTGTATTTACTACTAATCTGAAAAGATTGCCAGTTTAAGTCAGTGCTAGTTAGTGGCAAGTTCAGTTAGAATACTCCCTTTTCACCAGTGTGTTACATTCATTAGGGTCCTATTACAATAAGGAGAGATCCCAGAGAAAAGCTCCCCCAAGAGCAAGTTAAAACTAGTCACTATATGGCATTGCTAAGTATCTAGGAAAGCTTTTAATTGTTGACTTAGCTAAAACAAAATGTGACTTTGAGGCTAAAGATTAATTTTTAAGTCCTCAAAATTATTCTAAGGAATTTCCCAAATTTGTTAAATGTCTGTGCCTCCAAATATATCTAACAAAATATTGGGTGTTCTCACACCAAAAAGTGACAAATAACCCAAGCTAGGGTCTTAAGTGAACTTTCTAGCATCCAGATTGATTTTAAAATTGAAACTATAAAAGCTTCCCCTTTACCATTTAGAATAGTGTAATGATAAAACAAGCAAGAAACGTAATATTAGTAACAAATGCCCAGTGCTTCAGTTCCTTATAGAAGCTTTCATTCTCACAGGGAAAGTCTAATTCTGTACTAACAGCATTAATGATTTACTGTATTTAAAAACACTTTGTCAGTGACTCTCAGCAGTAAATCAGTAATCCCAATTATGGGTTATTATAGGGAAAATTTTCCTACAAAGCATCAATTTAATGAAATAATAGGGGCTATCCGTTGGGATTTAAATGCAATTAACTTTCCAAATAATGCCAAAATACAAATAATAAACTTGACAAAATTATAATTAAAACTGAATTCATACAGCCTACTACATTTTGATGCATGTCTACTCCAGCTCGTATTCTAGTACGCTTTCTTAAACCCAATGAAACTCTTGCTGTGATACATAGTCTCTGTGTTCTGGAGAGAGAATAAGAAAAGTTTAAGTCTCAAATAACCTTATACTTCAATACCAGTTTGCCTTTATGTTACAGTTTTTCAAACTTTCTGATTTCTCAACTTTAATATCATATCATATGAAAACCAACCAATGAAAAGTTTTATGCACATTGAAGGAGAAATGTGGTTTTCCAACAGGGCTGAATATAATAAATAATAAAATAAAATTTAATAAAATAGTTTAATAAAATAAAAACTATAATAAAATACAGTCATTCCTTCCTAGAGAAAACTTACAAGAACAAAAGTTCTATATAAGCAATTTTGAAATATGGCCACCTCAGGCATTGCCATCACTTTTTAAGTAACAGCTTTTTGGTTGTTTTTTTAAATTACCCTTTGGAAAGCAAAATGGTTGATAATAAGTCAAACTTGTCTTTAAAGCCAAAGGTTCATATTACTGTAGTTAAACAAGAAATTAGTACCCATCAATTGTCAATAATATTCTTAATAGGAAGAAACCCCTCTTCATTGGAAAAGCAGCAAAAAATGGCCTTTAAATGTGTAAAAACAAGTGAAGGTATATATAGTAAATCTTTTAGGCACTTTAGGATACTAGGAAAGGTCCAGTTCAGACTTAACATCTGAAGTTCTGCTATAGATAATGACTGCTATAGCCTTAATGACTACTTAACATTTAAAGTTGGGTTTTTAAGTAAAAGATTTAATTATGTCTGCAATCAATATTTTTTTCTTTTCATATGCAAAAGATATACAGTAAATTCAACATGAACTTAAGTATTCTGAACCTTCAAACTACCAGTACATTTTTTGAGTAAAAAAAAAAATGTAGAACTAGGGAGGTAATGGTAAGAGCTTATCACAGCATACAAGAGACCCACACAGCTTGGTCTACTATTTTACTCTTCCTTTGGAAACATATATCAAACTGAATTTATGAATATACTAAAATTTCGGTGATTTAAATTAAGTAGGAATAAAGGCTAGAATAGTACTGAGTAAAATGTAATCTAGTTGCATTATATAAGCATAAACCACCAATTTTCCTTACTGCAGATTCTTTGCCAAGATCAACTTTTCTGATTAAGGATTAGAAATGCATTATTTTCAACCTGAAATGGGCCATCACTTTTGTGCAATCCCTTTGTTCAGTACTAATTTTTCTTTATTGAATCTGTTGCCAAGTCCCATACTTTGCTTACTATCTCCTCTTCTTCCCAGTCCTCAATAGTTCTCCTCTAGATGATAGTTTTCAAGTCCAAGAAAATAAGAACTTTCTCAATTTTGCTCATTTAGCTCCTGAGGAAACTCAATCTCCAGCTTTACTCCATGAGTGCCTTATAACAAAGGGAACGTTTTCTTTCTAAAACCAGGGCTCAGCCTCTGTCCCTATCCCCCTTTCAAAATAGCATACTTTCCCTTTGTTCCTAATGGCTGTCACTCTTTGCATGAGCTCCTTCCCAATACATATGCTTTTTCAACTTCCTCTGCACTGAGAATAATTTCATTCTCAAACTATAAGAAAGCCTAGATGTAGTGTGGCATGATAAGATGTCAAACATAGCAGACAAGAATCAATTTCGATCTGTTTTCAAAACCACCTGTCTTAAAAAAAAAAAAGACAAACCTTACTACCATGAAATTTCCTAGTTATTCACCACGCTAAGCTTATGACATGGATCATCCATAAAACTAACAAGAAAGTTTAAAGACTCTTAAACTAGCAATTGCATCGGCTTAACTACTGCTGAACTGAGAGATGCTTAAGTCAGCTTAATGGTGTTAGTTATTCAGGATTGAACGGCTAACTGTGACACTGACTGTACCACGGGGAACAACCATCTGAGCTTTGGATTCACTGGTACCTAGAAGATTATTCAACAGAATTTCAGAGAAAATGGTTTCTATTTAGTGAAAAACAAATATATGGAAGTGTAATTTCAAGTTTATCACCTTATTGCAATGTTTAAAGGAGTTTCTGCTCATACTTCTTGTGTTATAAAATAGTAGTTTTGCCTCATGTTTTATAACACAATGCTCCTTTTTATTGACCCTAACTGAATTCTATGGCAAAGCATGCAAATTTCTTATGCTCAACATTTTGTCTATTTGAGTTAGAAGTTCCAAAGTCCACACAATATAGTAAGTTCACTAAGATCTATTTTAGACGATAAATTTTAAAAATAGAATTGAGAACAGTTCATAAGGCACCTTTTAGATGATAGGGCTCATGATGTAGTCCTGCTTTATGAACATTTGTAAATTAATAAGAACCTCTACTGATTTTCTTTGGAATTTTATTTCTAATTATTTCTATTATTTTAATTATATGTAGGCATGAATCTCTGCATGTAAGTATGTACATGAGTGCAAGTGCTCGCAGAGGCCAGAGATGTCAGATTAACCTGAAACTGGAGTTACATACATTACATACTGATGTATGTATTGGGGACTGAACCCAGGGCCTCTGGATGAATAGCAAGTGCTCTTAAGCACTGCGCCAGTTCTCCAGGCCCCTACTGATTTTCTCTAGCATTAAGTTACTAAGGAGTAGCAAGAGCTTTATGGCTGCTCCAGATGGTTAGTGTATAAAATGGACAAAAGCTCAGTGTTTTACTCTGTCTGCTGAACCTTTATTTTAGCAAATTCTGCTCAGGTTTTTACCATCTGTGACAACACAATGTGAACCCTCATTCAACAGCAGCATTCTTCTACCAAAAATTCATAATACTAACCACATGCCCATTTTTCTCTTTAGTAGAACAATGGAGTGAGGAGCTTTATAGCGTCAATATCCTGATCCTTGATCATTTGTCACTTCATATGTCTTGAGTATCTTTCCATATCATTACACAGAAATTTAGTCTTATTTATTTTAGAGTTATGTTAGCAATTGCAGGTATGACTGTGCTGTAATTTTCTTCACTAATGGACATTTGGGTAAATTCCAATGGCTAAATATTATGCTGAGCCTATGTCTTGGTGCATATACATACATATATGTGTGTGTGTGTATACACACACACATTTCTCAATTGGATAAAATTCTTAGATATGCAACTAATGTGACAAAAAGTATAGTATACGTTTTATCATAAAATAGACACCACAAAACCATTCCTTCAAACTGCAATACAAGATTAAGGATTTATACTTAATTTATATGAATCACAAGGGTGGTTTTTAAAAGCCATTTATGTGTTCTTTAACATGTTCTTCCTTTCACATTTTTAAAGTTTTTTTCTACTCCTTTCCATTTCTGACTATTTTCAGCCATTATTTATACTGAATACTACATATACTATTAAAAGATGTAACAGTTTATAAATGAAAATGAAATTTTAGTTCAAGGTGTTAAATTAAGTTAAGGGTTTCTTAACTTGAATACAACTGTTATAATAAAAAAATTAAAAAGGGCTAGTTGGTATTTTAATTTGTATTCCCTTGGTAAAGACTTTTTTGTTTTTTCATCCTTGACTTACTCAGATCCTCTGCTCTTTCCTCCCAGTCTACTCATCTATTTCTATTATTTTTGCCTTAAAAATAAGTGGAATAACTTTTATTATATCTTAAAATGCTACTCTTAAAGCTGTTAATAATAAGATATGAAGGACAAAATACTTTCTCTGGCATCTAGTTATACTTTTAAAATAAAACAACAGAAAAATTAGCTTATACTAAAATATTTTAAGCTTATTCTAGTATAGATGTATTTGCCTTCAAATATCCTAAATTTAATCAGTTTTCTAAACATATGATTTCTTAGAATCAGAATTGCAAACAAACTGTTCAAGACTAACAGTGTGAGGCAGAACAAAAAGTTTGTAACAAAAGGAAGTCTGTATATGTAAATTCTGGTCACTTTATTCTTCCTTTAAGAAATGATCACATCTAAAAGTGGATGAGGAAATCGGCAGAAAATTCAATAGTGTTCTGCCTGCCTGCAGGGTAGATTCAATCTTGTTTCCACATAAAAACTCAATTACCTTAATAGAAGTGAACAGATCTAGTTGTTGTTGAGGAAATTAGATTATTCAGTGACATCCCATAAGCTTTTCTGTGGGCCAGGTTCTAAAGGCACCCATACATTATCTCCCCAGTTGCTAGTTACCAGGCAAAGGTAATTTATATGAATCACAAGGATGGTTTTTTAAATAGCCATCTATGTGTTCTTTAACTTACGTTCTTTTCACATTTTTAAAGTTTTTTCTACTCCTTTCCATTTCTGATTATTTTTCAACCATTATTTATATTGAATACTACATATACTATTAAAAAGATGTAACAGTTTATAAATGAAAATGAAATTTTAGTTCAAGGTGTTAAATTAAGTCAGGGTTTTTTAACTTGAATACAACTGACTTTTGGGGCTGGATCATTCTTTGGTGGGTGTGTCCTGGGCAGAATAAGATATTTAGCAGTGTCCTTGGTCTTTGCCTAGTAGATGCCAGTCACAGTGCACTTCAACAACCAGGAATTTGTCTGGGCATGCATAGCCCAATGTACCCTGAATGTGCACGACTGCCCCATCTCATTCCTAGGAGAATCTATGAGTTTATCTAATTGGCTCTACTTGGTGGGTAAGATTATATTCTAGTGTGTTGGCCTGTATTTACTAATTTTTCTACTATGGGGATTAATTTTTAAGCACAGAGGTAACAAAACAAATTATAATGTCAGTATAACATCAAACCTAAAATTTTTATCAAGTACTGTTTAATGAAAAAAAAACTGACCATTTGGAATATGCGCTTAGCAGGTCCTAAACCTGGGATCATGAAATCAATTATTAAGATTAGCATTTAAAAAAACAAAATAGAAAAACTGAGAGAACAAAGCCAGAAATGGGAATATTATTCAATAATTTTTGTTTTGTACTTGGTATGCCCTTTGATATAAAACTGCATTTACTACTATGGGTTCTAGTGAAAAAATCGTTTCAAGATCAAATTTACAATAACTTGATATTTAAATTATTTAGGCTTTTAATGACTAGAAAAAGCAAAGTGGAGCTAAGAATACAGGTCTGTGATAGAGGGCTTGCCTAGCACAAGTGCTACCCTGAATTCTATCCCCAGGCACTGTAAAAACAAACAAGAAACAAAGAGCTCAGAGTAGCCAGAGCTGGTTCACTGTGAGTTAGAAAAGAAACAACAAGTGGGCGGGTTGGGTGTCAAAATTCCAAAGAACAAGCAAAGAAAAACACTGACTAAAACTATATAGAATAAAAATGATTACAATCTGAAAACCAGACACCAATGACACTAGTCATATAGTATGGCACTAAAAGTAAAGCTAGAGGAGATTTATTATGCCTTGTGTATCTGCCCGCTTCTAGATTGTATATTTTAAGCATCAATAAAACCTCATTTTTCCAGAATCTGTTCTAGCAGACCCCAAACTACATTTAAATCCTCTTGTAGTAATAACTATAGCCTTAACTTTTAACCCAATTAAAGAAAGAGTTTAGGCTTAAGAGTTATAACATGAATGAATGGTAATTAGAAAATAATTACAGGGGTTTTGTCTTCTTAAAGCAAATCAGAAAAATATTTATAACAAAATGTGTTTTGCTGTTAAATGATATTGTATATATTTGAAAAATCTATGCTTTTAAAACAATTAAAATATCTATGAATCTCACTAACATGCCTAAATATTCTTAATTAGCAAGGTTTAATTTTTTGAAAAACTTAAATCTTCATGTTATAAAATACTTCAAGAAATACTTATTTGCCTAGTGTTATTATAAAAATCTCATTTCTTTAAAGAAATCATTCTTCTCTCAAGAATCTTACCTTTCCATTTTTATGCAGTCCCACAGATTGATTACTTTCACAAAGACATAGCAAAACTATTAAGATATTTCATGCAGGCCTCAGCACTAAAATAAATCAATTTTAGCAGGAGTAATTCTCCATAGACTAGTGCTTTCTAGACAAGTCAGACAAACATCTGCAAATCCAGTGAATCTGTTCATAAAGTGGACCATCTTCAAGTAGAAGCAAATTCATGAGTACAGTGCTTGCATTGGCACCTCACTTCTTTTCCATTTCATGGATTACTTTAGTGAGAAACAATACCAACAGCAAACAAAGCTCAAAAGAAAAAAATCCCCACAAATTTTAAAATGATGCTGTTAGTATAAGAAAAAAAGGTCAACACATCTCAAAGCGCTGATCAACACCATCATGCATCTACCTCTAGGGTTATAACAAGCCCAACGCCTAATGTTTCAAGGACTTGAAATCATCTCACGTGCAACAGTCTCTGCATAGTGCCATTTTATCCATGCCACAAAAATGGTAATAGTTACCAATAAATAAGTTGGGGGTCAAAGGAACTAAAGTCTTAGACTGCTCTTTATCATAAGATATCCTCAGACAAACCTCCCCATTCTTCATTCTGGCTCTACAAAATTAAGGAGCAGAGAAAAGCTGGTAAGTGCCTGACTTCACAGGGGAATTATCAATATATGTGGTTATAAAATAAGTTCAGCTGCATCATTATAACTCACCTTACCACCCAAAAACTAGGTATGTAGGGAGGGAAATATGCTAAGCATTATAAAGAATATAACTTTATTAATCTTAGCATGTCATATCTTAATTTAAAAATCAACTTCAGTACCAGTGGCATTTTGATATGACATGTTTTAAATTCCAACAGTCAAATATTAAAAACTGGATAATGGGCCAATTTCTGGGCTTTCCCTCCAAAAGCTAATAATGAATTCATGCAACCAAAAGGTCTAAACACAGAACTGGTCTACAAATATCAAATATGAAAAATATACTATTAAACCACAATGCTTATTAGTATTTTTTGCAGTTATTACTCAGATATACATTTGTTTTGTTTTTATTACTGATTGTAGCCTAACAGAAGAAAATCTACTTTAAACACTGACATCTGCCCTGCTTGCCCATAAAATGCAAGACTACTTAAATTTCATATTTATATAAATTGGGCAAAAGCAAAATTTTAATAAATTTTCTGAATAGTATTAAGAATAGAAATATATATTTCACAAATTTTATAAAAATATATAAAATCAAAATAACTTGTATAGACTATTAAGCCAACATATAAAGCTCACTGTTAATTTAAAATTATATTTAGTGCTTAAAATACTCTAAATAAAGATTTTGACACTAAATAGAAAAGTTGTAATACATGAAAAATTACATTTAAATTAGGTTTCTAGTACTTTTACTGCAAATTTTAGGATACATTTAGCTAAAATAGCTATACTTAAACAATTTTAGAAACAAAATCACCTGAGGACACTGACGAAGTGAGTACTATATTTCAAATTATAAGATCTAGAAGTTATAGACCTAGATATTTTGACAAATCTTAACAAGGAGACTTTTGAGAAAATACTGTCTATAAGTCTACATATTCAATAAAGGGTTCAAACTACTGATAATGACAATAGTGAATATCCTCAGGCCTACGAAGTAATAGCACACACTGCTACAATAATGCTTTGTATCCCCTCATAGGGTAAATACACACTATGCTATTATTGTCTTATTATAAAGCATAGAGCAATTTCCAAGTAGCACTTATAAAGTAACTCAGGAACAAGAAGATATCAGTGCCCTAAGCATTACTCTCTAGGAACACATTAAAAGCAAAACTTGAGTTTTAATGGCTTTAAAAATGTCTTAAAAACAACAAAGAATTAACCAGAAAATGGTGAAAAACAGAAGAAATACCAAGTTCTAACACAAGAGATTATAGCTCTATAATAATTAAATGTTATTAAGACAAGACTCAAATATGAATATTTTCTAATTCCTAATCCTGGGACTTATCTTTTGGTTAGTTTTATTTTTCATGTTTTGGCAGGGCCTCAGGTTGATCAGGCTTCCTTCAAAACTTACTTTGTACCCTAGACCTTGAACTCCTGACTTTTCTGTCTCCACAAGTGCTAAAATCACAGGCACATATTATCATATCTGGTTTATGTAAGCTGAGGATTGAACTTACGGCTTCATGCAAGCTAAGCAAACACTCTTCCAACTGAGCTACATTACACCCCCAGTTTGACCTAAACATCTTTTTTGATACTGTTTTTTTCTCCTAACTTTGATTAGTAAACAACAAAAAAGAGATGCTAACTTTAAAACCAGTATTACAACAGTAGAATGTACTCTTGGAGTCAGCATACCTGATGTTAAAATTACAAACCTCCAAAATGACATGTTTGCAATCAATTAATAAACCACCATGGCAAACTGTGCACACAAGGAAAAGATCTGTGCTCATTTGACTACCAAACAGCAGATAGCATGAGGGGCTGTCACTGAAATACTAGTTTTACATTCACCAACCATTTTTCTGATAACTACAACACCATTAAACACACAGTTCACTGTCTCATGTTTAATAGCTGTAGACTTTGGATGATATCAACACAACTTGACACAGGCCCTACAGCTGACTGATAGAGGATTCACTAGGTGTTCCCTCCACCACTAAGACCAAAAGTAAAGAAATTTTAACAGAGAAGTCAAATTATTCTCCTCCCCTTAGTCATTCCTTTAAAGCTAGTCATTTCAGAAATGCTAGAAAAAAATTTAATTTAAAGTCTGTTTTACTAATTAAAACCATAATAAGTATGTAATAAAAAGTTAAAATAAACTAAGAATACAAATCTACTTTCAACACTTTAGTAAATGAACCCATGGGACACAAATATTCATTTATATTGGATGTATGTATACACACACACACCTTAATGAAAATACCTATTTTTTTCTTTACTAACCCATTTTCATGCTAAACTTTCTAAATTGTAACAACCACAATTAGTTCTAACCCATAATTTAATTTGGTACCTAAGCATCAAACACATGGATTAGCTCAGGATGTTGAAGGCATTTAGAAGAGAAAGGGGTTGCTATATTCTGGGATATGGAAGTTAAGATAGGAGGAATATAATAGTTTTTACAGAACATGGTTAGTTATTTCAAAAGAACAAACAGAAGTACAAATTTATCTTAAGTTAATTTTGTTAACACAAAGCCAGAGGGTTCTATAAAAAGCATAATTAGAAAACACTAACATTTGCTTGGCTACATTTGCACTTAATGGACATGAAATGAAAACATGAACCAATTTGGAAAGGAAATGCCATAATCTCACAGTCAACTCCTAATTATCCACACTAATGAAAAAGGTGGGGGGATTTTAAGTAATTCAAAACAAAGGATGAGGAGTTCTCCAATGTTATTATTTTTGGCCAATTGTTCCCCCTTTTAATATATACATTTATTTATCTATTTATTCATTTACATATTTTAATTCAAGTATTCTGTCGTCTAAACCAGCCTGACTTGCAGGCCATCTCTACAGAGAACCATCCATCCATAGATAACTGAGTTGATGTGACTGACACATATTCCAGTCAAACTGAACATGAACACGACATACCAAGCATGCTTTGAAGTAATTTCTGAAACTTGTAGGAATGATGACTGAGATTTCCCTAGCAAAAGCAAAACATGCTAGTTTTCTTTCCAGGAGCCTAAGTAGCTTACCTCCTGCAGGAGATCAGCCTGTTCAATTGCTTTAAGGACATTTTTCTTGGACGTTTCCTGAACTTCTCCTCCCAAAAGAAATTCATCCAAAATAAAATAGGCCTTCTCAAAATTAAAGATGATATCAAGTTCACACACCTGAAAAGCAAAAGCAAAATGAGACAAAACAAACAAAGCCTGTTAAAACTTGAGCTAAAGATGTTTATTCACTACTAGGTAATGAATAAAATCTGATCAGATTGAATTGATCTTAATTCTTTTCATGGAAATCTTGCTAATTAAGCACCATTGATTTAAATAAGCTTTAATTTTCAAATCTCAAGTACTTGACAACACAATGCCTACAAGTTAAATCTGGCTCTGCACACTCCCTATGTAGTCAACCTAATAATTTTCCACTCATAGAAACCAATCTTTAAGTACATATTTCTTGAGTAATGTGATTAAGCTGCTAATGATTCGGAAAGCTATACTTCACACTTCCAAAATGCTAATGTCAGCAATAGGACTTTTCTATTTCACTAGTGTTTGTGTGTGTGTGTGTGTCTGTGTGTGTGTGTTTGGTGTACAGGTGTCCAAATGGGTGTTGTTTCTTGGGAGTCATTTACTTGCTTTTTAGAGACAGGGTCTCTCACTGGGACCTAGGCCTCACAGACTAGGCAAGGCTGGCTGGTCTGTGAGCTCCAGAGACCTGCCTCCATCCTCCTGGAAATAAAAGTCAAAGTTAGGGACTGAAGAGATGGGTCACCAGTTAAATGCACTGGCTCCCCTCTTCCAGAAGGTCAAGGTCCAATTCCCAGCACCTATATTATAACTCACAAGCACCTGTATCTCTACTTCAAGGGGATTTGATATTTTCTTTTGGCCTCTGTGGACACCAAGAGTGCAAGTGACGCATAGACAGGCATGTAGGCAAAACACCCATACACAAAATTTAAAAAGCAGCAGCAGTAGGAGCCAGTATTGGCTTTTTATGTGTGCATACTAGGGTTAAATTCAGGTTCTCATGCGTGTGTGGTAATCATTTCACCAACTGAGCTAACTATTCAGCCCCTCAATTTTACTATTTTAAAACTTATTCTCACTATTATAATTAAATGAATAGATCTGTGGGGCCAGAGATTCTGAAAGTTGACTAGATGCACTGACAAGAAATAAGAGTCAGTGCAGGGTGGTGGTGGCACACACCTTTTAATCCTAGAACTCAGGAGGCAGAGGCAGGTGCATTCCTATGATTTCAAGGCCAGCTTGGTCTACAGAGTGAGTTCTAAGATACCCAAGACTACACAGTGAAACGCTGTCTGGAAAAAACAACTAATTAACTGCAGCACAATTAATAAAAACCCAGAAGGTAAAAAATCCTGAAGGTCAGAAAAGCAAAGCAGCTAGCCACTGGCTCTTACTTCTGCCTCAGTCTGAAATGGTGATACTGCCTCCAGGAATCTCAGAATGAGATTGTGTCTAAGAGCTGTCTCTTCCCATCTTTTATTCATCTCTAGGGTTGGGATTAACAACTGGTTTCTATGGCAAACTAGTGTGGCTACTGGGATTAAAGGTGTGTGTCACTACTGCCTGGTCTGTAAGGCTGACCAGTGGGGTTATTTTACTCTCTGATCTTCAAGCAAGTTTTATTTATTAAAATACAAATGAAATATCACTGTAACCAACCAACCAGATAAATAAATAGTCAGTCCTGCCTCTCCTCACAGTTAGAATCCCCAAATAATAAGCTTATCAGAGACAAGATAAAAACTAATCTACTACTACTCACACTGCCAAAATACTTGTCAAGTAATTCCACGTAACGATGGATTATTTCCAGGGTAATCAGTTCATTGTCCTGATCCTCAATAGCACAGCAAAAATATAAACTGGCATATCTGTAATGAAACAGAATCACAGAAAAAATGTTACCCCTATAATCATGTTCTCTAAATTTTCCATGCCCTGTTGTACCAGTCCTCATGCTTATTATAATTACATTTATTCTTCTTTTAAAATAAATTGGTTTTCTCCTGGATTATAAAAGTAATAAATGTACAAGAGAAATTTTGAAAAATACAGGCAAAAAGAAAAGAGAAAAAGAGATAACTCAATCATGTCTCTTAGAAGAAGTAATTGATCTTGCTCTTCTTTTCAGGTTGCTTTCTGAGCATTTAAAAATATAATTGAGCCAGTTTTTCTTTAGTTTACTTAATTAGAACCAAATATACAGTGTGATTGATTCAAACTACAAGCAAACGGGGAGAAAACAAGCTGTCAATATATCCCAACTGAAGGGCTTATTGAAGAAATTATCATTGTTTTAGAACATGTCATTGAAGAATAATGTATACACAAAAATCTCATGTCTACAAGCCTGTGGTCTTTCAGAGTAGACATTTCAATGTGTTCCCTCATCCCCAGTAAAAGAAACTGGAAAGACAAAACAGGGCACCATCTCTAACTTGAGCAAAGATCTTCCTCTTGTTCCCATCATAGCCTTGATTTGTTTATCTATTTAAAAAGCAAGACTATTCCAACTCTTCACCCTCCCTAATCCATGATCTTCAGCAGCATCTCCAGAGTGGCACAAATGATATAGGTTCTTAACCTTCCTAATGTTGCGACCCTTTAATACAGTTCCTCTTGTTGTGATGACCCCCCAAACTTAAAATTATTTTCATTGCTACTTCATAACTGCAACTTTGTTGCTGTTGTTAATTGTAATGTAAATATTTTTGGAGGTGGAGTGTTGCCAAAGGGGTTGTGACCCACAGGTTGAGAAACACTGATATAGGAGCTTGAATTATGAAAACTAAAGATCAAAGGAACATATTTAAAAATGACAGACCAAAAGACAGATACAAGTTGTTTCTATGAACTGAAGAGAATAACAAATAATCATATTACAGAGATTATTAATAGTAAATGTGGAGTAACATTCTTTATTGCAAATGTCTCCCATGCTACTCTTAGGCATCCAGTATATATCTCCTTGCTTTTTTTTATCCACAGTACTGCCTCTTTGTTTACAAGTAAATGATATTTAAATACCAACTAAATAGTTGAAGGTCTTGAAGTATACTGATCATGAATTTAAAAATGAACAGGACTGATATATCTAGGTACCGACCAAAAATACTTTTGTTTGTTTGTTTCTTGAGACAAGGTTTCTCAGGAGCTATGGAGCCAGTCCTGGAACTAGCTCTGTAGACTAAGCTGGCTTCGAACTCACAGAGATTCGCCTTCCTCTGCCTCCCAAGTGCTGGGATTAAAGGCGTGCACCACCACTGCCTGGCCAAAAATACTTTTAAAAGAAAAAAAAAATTGAACTCCTTCAACAGTATTTCATTTGAGTTTTTTCTTTTCATTCTAGAAATCAAATTCAGTATCTCCTATAGCATTCACTGTCAGCTTCAATCCTCTAAATGTTTACTTCACTAAGAATGAGGAAAAGGCATCAACTTAAAGAACTACTTCTTCCAGGTGAATAGACAACTATTAGCATGATAGGAACACCTCTTCAGAAAGCTAGGGAAGTACTACAGCAGGTACCACAGAGAGATTCACTATCCATGAGGTGCTAAATGTTAGTGAAGGCTTTTGCATATTTTACCATCTTAATCTCATAACATTCCTATCAAGATATCATTATTACTTGCATTTATAGGAGACCCAGGCTTGAGTAACTGGATGAGAACAGAAATTTGACCCTGGAGCCCAAATTTTCAATTAAAAACCACAGCTGTGAAGTGTATTAAAAATAATCCTGCACCTGGCTAAAATTAAAATATGCTCAATGCAATATATTAAGAGCTTTGAGAAAGCAAAAGAGACAAAAAATGCCATACAGATTTAGTAAAAGATTACTAAGAAAACCTGAAGAGTACTCCCTATTTTTAGGACCAAATGGTGCTTTAAAATTCAATATGAGCTCATGTTGTTCTCTTAGTAAAATTAATAATAGACTAGTAAGAAGAGAGGTATGTTTAGTTATTTTTAGCACCATGGATTAGGGCTTACTCTAATTACTGGCACTCAGAACGTCTGAAAGTGCCTATTCTTATATTCAAAACACATGACTTCTCTGCAGTCAGCTAAATATCAGCTGACTGTGCATGAATGTATCTAAACTATTCTCAATACCCACTGGTATGTCGTTAAAATTTCTTTTGTTAGTAAAGAAAATCAATAAGTACCCTTCAACAAATTCTCAAGCTGGTAACATGGGGATGCATTTTAAAATTAATTTTAAAAGACCTAAATTCAATTGCCTCTACTATAAAATGTTGCCCCACTAAGCATATAATGTTCTGTCTCTAGTGGATATTTGGGAGCATTTATTTTAAAGATGAGGAAACAAAGGCAAAAAAAAATCAAAATATTCAAAGTCACAAAACTAGGTAATGGCACATGGGAACATATTGTAAGTCTTCAGATTTTTCAGCTTGTCTTCTCAACTACAATACCCTTATACCCCCACCGCTTCCTTCCACAAAGGGAAAATATGTATGTCAAATGCTTAGGGGTGAAGAATGTGGACAGGACAAATAAACAAAGACAATATAAAAAACACATACTAAGAGAAACATTGAAAGTGCTAGAGCAGAATTTATTAGGAACTCAGTAGAAGTTCTATGCCTTAAAAGGTCTTATCTCTTCCAGTCGGAGCAGGGAAAACACATCACCTGATAATAACAAAATACACGGTTAAGTTTGAAATAGATGATTGATGCTTTCAGTATGAAATAGGAGGGGCCTACAGAAACATTTTACATTTTGTATATGAAACATCTCAATAAAATTATTTTTTCTTTTTGTTAAATCTAAATTTTATTTGGAAAAAAAAAAACTTTGATCTAAATATCAGATCAGGTTGGAGTTCTCTTTTGTAATTTCTGATAAAGGCAGGGAGATCTACAGGAAGAGGCTGAGTGGCAAGTGTATGAGCTCCAACCTGCTGTTTCCTTTCCTCTGAATGGCCCATTCATGGGCTCCATTCTCTTGCTAGGATTTTCTTCCTCCACACGGGGGACTCCTTTCACTATCTTAGAAATAAGCTTAAACATCTCACACCTTTTATAAACCCTGTCCAGGATTCCAAAATCCAGGTCTATGGGCAGTTATCACCTCTTCTGTCCTTGGCAAAGCTCTCCCAAATATTCTATACATGCAGGTTCAATTTCTCTACCTTTCCATCTTCACCTCATTACATTAAAAATCCTGTCTCTACTTCACTGACAATGTTCTGGCAACAGGCAATGCATGAAATGCTCACTATAAGATTCTAAAAAGCTCTTCACTTTTATTGAACTTCACACAACAGTGTGTTCTTACTCTCAAATCTCTCTGCTCCTGACTACTGACCTAACAGCACTCCTTTGCTTCTCATTTCGATCTGTGGGCCCCCTCTTCAGCCCTTCCACCTGCACCAGAATGCTGGTGATTTAATACATAAAGTCTAATTTTCACCCTCCAGCTTCACGGCTATGCCTACCGCATCCCATCAGAGAGCCAAGTGAACAAATATGGCCATATCAACTTGTCCCTAAATTAACCAAATTCTCTAGCTTACCTTTCTTCCCATAAGCCAAACTCTAGAAGTGGAGGTGACACCACTCCCTCTTTCTTTCGCTGCTCTCTCTGCTTCTTGGGGTGATCAAATTTTCTCAGACTTCCCTAGGTAACAGCCTCTCAGCTCAGGATCCAATTATCATGCAGTCCCCCACTGATCCTGCAGGTGCCAGTCTCAGTCCCTTTCACTCCCCCAGCCAGGGTTTCACTGCAATCTTTTGAGAAATGCAAATCTAACCTTATTTCTTTCCACACCTGTTTAAAACCATTGCCTCCACACTTAAACCTTAAGTTGTAGCCCCATGTCCAGCATCAGTATATGACCTATTTACAAATTCTCATCTTTTATAAATTGAAATTTGAACAGTAACCGTCTTTTGCAAATCCAAGACCCATCTCTAGTGCAGACAGCAGAGGCCAATTGAGCCAGAGTACAGGATTCTTTTTTCTGATCCGCAAAAGCAATTGGATTTCTACTTGTCTTAGATAAGATTCTTCACCTTCATGGCATTCCATACTGTTCTCTGCACACACCATCAAGACAGTGTTATATGCGGAAATGCTTTTATTTTAAATGCACTAAATTATTCAAAGGAGACCAGAACTGGGGAAGAAATAAATGTTCCCTCAAGAAACATTCTGTAAAATAAAGGTGCATAGCATTAAAGAAAAAGAAACTGTATAAAAAGCTAACCTACAAGTTATTTTGCAACATCACGTTTTAAAAAACATCTGTACCTGGTAAAATTATCATATCTAAGCCCAACTCCTCCACATCAACAAGTCTATTTCAAATTAATAAATACTACTAGCAAAGAGATCGTGTATATACACAAGTATTTAAACATCTGTATAGTGAAATGGTCTATGTGCCCAGGATCTTTATAAGTAAGATTAATTATAAAAGTCAGATAAAATGAATGCCAAATATCAGTTATTTGATAAATAAATCTTCATGGATTTGTTGAGAGAAAGGATCATCATACTAGAGTCTATACATGCCTGAATTTATCAATTTACTTAAAAATTTAAAATACTGACCCTATTAACCCTGTAATGAAATGAATCCATTGACTATTTTCTAAAATGATGACGAAGCACGAATAATTATTTGTCTTTAGTTATATAATTAATTTAAAAATGATTCCCCTGCTGCTAGCACTTCTGTTTAAGGCAAGCAATCAAAACAGCCATTATTTTTATATGGAAAGTTTTCCTTTAAACTTATTTCATTTAAATATTTGTTAATCCTTGTTTATCAACAAAAAAGTCTGAAATGTCCTAATCTGAAGTAATGCTAACATTTGGTCATATTTCACCTTTCTGATAAATTTTAAAAAATGATACCTTTTATAAACAATCTTCAGATCTCTCCACTCCAGGAAGCTGCACATCTTAGGTTTCCGAGCTAAAACGGTTTGAACAAGTTCTCTTGTGATCTTCTTCTTCTCTTTGTCTGAGAGTGGGACATACCATTTCTGCAGCCGCAGCTTTCCCTGACGACTAAAAAGCAACATAAACTGCATCTGTTAAGATAAATAAAATCAAGATTACATACAATTACCTAGGATAAACTGTTAAGATCACATGGTTTTCAGAGCTGCTTTGGGGATACAGTTAAACACCCTGCCAAATGATTAGTAAGCCATCAACATTTCTATGCAGGTTATAACAACAGAAAATTCTTGTGGAAAGGTCTTCTTACAATGCTTCGTAGGTAAGTGTGGAAGAGAGTGTCTGGCAATAAGAACAGGTGGTAAGCTCGAGTGAAATTTTTGAAGAACAAGAACTCTGATAATTTAAGAGACAATTTTCTCCCTTGTTACACATTCCACACTCTCTGTGCATCAAAAGACAACTGTAGACACCAGGTAGTTGCTGTAGGGCCATTTCTAGGAAAGAGGAGACCTATGGTTTTTCACCCCGAGGCCATTCTAGTTTCAGGCTGAATTTCTTGCAGACAGGCTACTCATCAGTTAAAGCACCCCCCTCAATTTATGCTAGCATATTTTAAGCAAAACAGAATACTAATCACAAACAACACATTTTTCTTAACAAAAGCCTGATTTTTATGTTTTCATTTCACTGTTATAAAATCCAACTATCACAAATAAGCACTCAAGAACTGAGTTAATGTACATGAAAGAGAATGCAAGTCTAAAAAGCTTGGCCAAAAGTTACTCATATTGAGACAGGGCATAGAGTACTTAAATTAAAAAAAAATAAACAACAAAATTTTGAGACATTTCACAGAATACCTATTTTAAAACAAAAAAGAACACATTTGAATGTATGCTGGATTCTAGTGTGTTTTTATACTGAAGCTAATTTGTACGGATTTACTTAGCATTTGCATGGCTGTTGGTCAGGCGACGTTTTCTAAAGCAGGTATTTTATAATTCAACTGATAAGAACAAGCTGTATTGTAAAGCTAATTTGAAGGTAAAATTCAGGTAGGTGTTCTCTTTTAACCCTTTTCAGTTCCTTTAACAGCGACAGTGCAAGTGAGACCCCAAGGCAGGTTCTTAATATTCACTACACCTTAAATTTGAACATCGGGAAGAGGAATTTACGTAACTAATATAAAATCAAACTGGCTCTAAATTTCAACAGGAAATTCACCTCGCAATATCCCAAAAAGGCATCAAGAAAACATCCGGAAATTTATGGCGTAGCCATTTAACTTTAGTAAAGTTAAAATTGGCTATTACCCACACACAAGACGCTATATAATTCATTGCTAGCAAAGTGCTGCCCATGTAAGTTCTGAAGACAGCGGCATTCGAAGAGGACAAGTGAAGCAGCAACTGGACATTCAACGCAAACCGTTACTAGAACTTGGGGAAGGAAACGATTGGGTTTTCTTAAATCTTGGTGACCAGGAGAGGGTTTGCTAACGACAGGAGTGTGCTCCAGGCTATCTGTAGCAGGGTCCAGTATCCGCCCTACCACTTTGTAGGACGAAGAAACCACGCATTTTGCTTAAAACAAATGATGTGCTAACATGGGACGAAAGCCCTGGCACAAGTATTCCTTTTCCTTCGCTTCGATTTTGCCACAAATCTCGGGACAAAAATTTCTTCAGATTAGTATTAAAACAAAAACAAAACAAAAAGCAACAATAGGCTTAGCCTTGGAATGGGCTCCGGTCCAGCATCCCTGGGGTCCCGCAGTCTTGGACGCCTCCCCTCCTCCCGGGACCACACTCCATCACTGCCCAAAGCCCGGAGAGGTGACCGGCAAAGAGCGGAGCAGAGACAATGGCATCCGCTGGCCCGCCAGGGGCGCCAAGTCCTCGGTCGCTGCCACCCCCGGCCCCTCCCCAAAATGCCCCGCCAAACTTGAGGCGATCGGCGAACCACAGGTGCCTCGGGGTCCCCGCGGAACCCAGGACCGGCCCCAGCATCACTGGCGCGCCGCAGAGTGAAGAGCGGAGCGCCACCGCCGCCAGAAGTGAGTTTTGGGGCGCGGCGCCCCGGGAGGACTCGGGGTGGGGTCGTCGGGGCGCTCACGGGGCGGCGGGGGGCGCGCCCGGTCATCTCTCCCTCTTCCCATCCCTGCCACCTCGGCGGATCCCCTCGACACTTACGGCGGCCGCGGGCCGCGGACGCGGCGGAGCTTGGCCGGCTGCGGAGACCGAGGCAGCGGCGGCTGCTGAGGGGAAGCCCCCGTCGCCGTGCTGTTGAAGGGAAGCCGTGGTGCCGCCGGGAGGGGACCCGTCTGGCGGAGGGCAGGCTCAGGCTGCGAGGGTAGGGCGAGCCAACAGTCCCCGCCCCGGAGGCTGGACGGAGGAGGAGCCCGGGCTGCGGCGAGCGGAGAGGCGGGCCGGAGGACGAGCGCCAAACTGCCGAGGGGGCGCCAACCGCCTCTAGTATCCTCGCAGTTGCCGGCGAGAGCGAGAAAGCCGATTGGTCAAATGGCCGCGGGGAGGCGTGGCGAGGGCCGGAAGTCTGGCCACGTGACCCGGAAGCGGCTTTGCTGTGGGGTGGGGGGGCGCGCCTGCGTATTTCTCCCCGTGCCGCTGGGACACAGCCCGCGGGGCTGTCCTGGCTCCTTTAGTGGCGCGGGAGGATGGGGTTCCGCGGCGCCCTTAGCTGACCCCGTGGTGCAGGCTAAGGATGGTCCGCACTGCAAAGAGCCGACTTCGAGCTCCAGTGACTCTCCGGGTCCCCAGAGGGTTGGGCGGGGAGGTGTGACAGTCGGTGCTGATGGTGGGAGGAAGGACGGGAGTGCTGCAACTCTGGGGAAAACAAGTCAGCGCTTTCGTGGTGCCCGCGTTTGCAGGGTGGCCCCTCCTTTCCAGTGCACTGCTCCAGCCCTAGCTAGTCCAGACACTTCTCGCCCCAAGCTTTGCAAGAGACGCTCTGCGGGGCTTGCTTCACCCAGCAGTGCGGCGGACTGGAGGAGTTGCGGTCCGCTCTCTGCGCAAAAGCCCAGACGGCGCTTAGTCCTCCAGATCCCGCTTCCTTCTCACGGTCTCGCCCCTCACCTTCCCCCGATCGGGTTCCAGTTTAGCCTTGCTGACGACTCGCTCTTCTTGGCATGTCCTTCCTCTAATGTCACATCTCTGAAGCCTCACCCTAAAGCCCCGGAACAACGAATCCCTCTTTTACCCACATGCTTCTGTTTAGCGCATCTTGGATTTTATTCGTTTAAGAACCTAGTTCCCTGCCTGGTCTTTAACACTACTGATAAATGTGAGTTGCCTAATCAAATTATGAAATGATGATAGACTTGTTAAAAAGCTGAAATGTTGACTTAGTTCTGGGCATATAATGGATGTCCATGTTTTATTTGAATGATAGAATGGATGAATCATCTAGTTCAACTCATCTTTTATAGATAGGGGGAGTGGAGACCCATAGGATTAGGTGACCTTGCTTGGACAGTCGTGGATTTCCTATGTCAAATGTTCTTCAGTACTCCAATCACCTCTATTCCTACAAAGGAAGCCAAAAGAGCATTTGTTGGGCCATGCCTTCCTTTGCAGAGGTTACTAAACATGAATTTTAAATTAACCAATGTAAGAAAAAGATGCTACATTTTAAACAAAGTTGTATTTACTCAATTTTTTAAAAATCCCTTATTAGAGATAATGTTCATGGTTATGCCTTACAGTGCCAATGTAATATATGATAGGAATTTGAGGTCATTTTATGATGCCTTTGTTTAGCAAAATAACACTAGAATACCTTCTTCCCCTTTCAGCAATAATATGCTGCTTGGAAAGGTTCCTACTGACGTGTGTGTGATTGATATATACTGGAATACGAAAGTGGTTAACAGAAAGTGGAATTGGCTTTTGGTAGGTCTTTAGGCCCCCTGCCCAAATTTCTCTTGTTTCCTGTCCAAACATGCCCCTGAAATGCCAATGTCTTTTTTCTCCTTGAATACAGGAAACAGATGTCATTAGCCAGTTTAAAGACAGCACTAATACTACACAATGAAAGCCTACCCTCTGATTCAAGACACTGCCTTTTCTTTTTGTATACAAAACACCTATGTCCTCAAGGTTTCTGAGATAGCCAATTCCCAAGTCTAATCTCATTGGATATGTTACTAATGTTGGTTTGTACCTCTGGAAATGATGGGAGACTTGCTAATGACATATTGGCAGTCTCATCTCTGTGTTTCTAGCCAAAAAAGAAAAAAAAAGAAAAAAGGTGGGGAGGGCTGGGGGTAGAGAAGGAATTATGGGAAAATAATTAGCAGCTGAAAGCAGCTATTACATAATCTTGGCTGCTTATTAATTTAGCAGAAGGAATGGCTTATTAAATTCTAATAGCAATAGCAAAACTGCAAACAACCTACAATTAACAGAGCAGGGCCCATTATTTTGTTAATATGTTCTCTTCCTTTGGCAAGTATATGAGAACAAAATTTATAGAAGCAGATGGTCTTTTTCAGTAGATTATAGATGGTTTATTCCCCAGCCTTAGTACTAAGTGCTAATCGTGCATTCACTGTGAAAGACAAAAAGAAACACGGCTGCCATCTTTGTTAGTAATTAACTAGCTTGACTTTGATTTCCACATTTCTCAAATTGTAGGCTTTGTTGTATACATGTTTCTTCTGACCTAATATCGTTTTCAACTGCTATGCCAATGCATTATCATTTTTATTCTTTTGTCTTTGTTTTCAGAATGATCCTGCCTTATGTTAATAATACAAAATTATGTGTGAAAAATTAATAACCAGAATTTGTATGTGTTTGTTAACTTTTTTAAAAAGTGCCTTGCTGTCATGTATGCTAGCTACAAGATGTGAGGGTAAAATAGAGATTCTATTTTTTAGCAATAAAGTTTGGATACTATATTACTTAAAGTTAAAAAAAATAATTTTAGTTTCCTGTTAAATTTGTCATAGATGCACATTCTTATGTCTGCTCCATATTAAAATATGACTAAATGAAAAGGGAAAAAGGACAATGTTTAAAATATGCCCACATAGAGCTATAGAGATGGTTGATTGGTTAAGAACACTGGCTGCTATTGTAGAAGACCCAAGTTCAGTTCCCAGCACCCACATGACAGTTCATAACTGTAACTTGAGTTCTCAGGGGTCTGACACTCTTTTCTGGCCTCTCTGGACACCAGGCACAAAGGGATGTTCAGATATGCATGTAGGCAAAGCATATATAATATATGTGATAAAAGTTACTTTGAAAAATAACTAAAACATGCCCACATGGATGATGAGATGGAACCTTAAGGATGATGAGAAGGCCAATAGGGATATTAAGGTACAATATCATCTAAAGACTGATGATTTAAATAAAAAGTCGACAAACTGAAAATATGAAAAATTCATGTAGAAGTAAGGAGAGGTTACAGTAATGCTGAAGTAAACGACATCTGAAAGAAACCCAGAAGCTGAATTATTAGCTTGTTTCTTCCATTCTAGGAAGCAGACTCCAGAATCAATGGCGAATTTCCATGGTTAGAATCTTGTGGTAGAATATAACCAGAGGGATTAATATATTTTATTTTGATTTTTAAATGACTTAAGTATTATCATGGAGTAGCTAGAAAATTAGTGGTGCATTCAATTAGTAGTGCACTCTCTGGTAGAGTCTTCTACAAAGTTCCTTTAGTCAGCTTTTTGATTACTTTTACACAATATTATAACTCAGTATTAAATCAGTATATAAGTTATATGCAGAAATGATGCTTAGAGTTTATACATTTGTATATCTCATGATAAAGTTGTCCCAAAGAGAAAATGGACCTAAAATGATGAGGATTTGTGAAGTGGGTCCTTTCCAAATAGTTCTGCCATTCCAGAGTCCTCACCAGTGATCTAGAGGAAAATGTCGAACCTATGCTCTTTCTGTGGCTTTGAACAAAATTACTATGAAGTTACTCTCACACTGGACAGTTTTATTCAACAGGGCACCCGTGGCAGTGTCTGGAATATCTGGCTTGTCACAGCTGGGAGTCCTTGATGCTATAGGCATCCAGGGGACAAACAGAGGATGGGAGGTGCTGCCTAACTTCCTATAGCATATATGTTCGCCCCACAACAAAGAAGGACCCCGCTCCAAATGTCAGTGTTACTAGGAGAACAAAGCCTGTCTTAGTCATAGCAAATGTTAACGTGCGGTAGATCTTTTATAGACATTTCCAGAAATGGAACAGCACAGCCTTCATCGAAAGCTTTTTTCTGTGTCTCTCAGAGGAACTGAAGGTATTAGTCTTAATACTTGATAGATAAAATCGTAAAGTAAAGAAAAGGCTGGCCATATACTTAAGGCACTCAGTATCTTTTAATAAAACTTTAGCTAGAATAAAGGAGCAAAATGTGATTTAAAACAACTGACCCCATTCCAGAGCAGTAGCCAACGGCACCTGAATTCATGAGATGGCTACCCATTCATTCATCAGAAATGTTCATTATGTATCTCTGACCCAAACAGAAATTCGAGTTTCTTTCTCCTTGCTCTCTCTTTCTTGCCTTCCCTCATCTCTGTCTTTTCATTTTATTCAGAGTCTCACATTTGTCTCTGAACTCACTGACCCAGTCTGGTCTGGAAACTTCAACAGTCCTCCTGCCCCATGCTCCCTACTGCTGGCATTATAGTTGTGAACTTCCGTGTTCATCATCTGTAGACAAACCCTGAACGACCAAAGAAGCAGTCATGAATCACATGTATTACTACAGGCTTTTTTAAGGAAGCTGCTAGACATGCTTCATTAGAACTTTACATCTTTATGGCTGACATTTTTGGAAGCTATGCCCTTGTGATGTCACAGGACTCTTTTTTTTTTTTTTAAGGGGTGGATTCAACCCGAAGATGAGAAAAGCAAAGCAGTCAAGCCACTAGAGAGCTCTTACCTGTGTGAAATCTTCAGACTGAAAAAGAGAGCACCTTATATTCCTATTCCTCTCTAGTGCTGGGATTAAAGGCATGCACCACCACCACCCAGCCTCTATAGCTAACTAGTGTGGATGCTGGGATTAAAGGTGTGTACCACCACTGTCTGACCTGTAGGGCTGACTGGTATGGCTGCTTTGTATTCTGATGCTCAGGCAAGTCTCAGGACTCTTAAGAGCAGCAATCTTTTCATTTTGTGAATTTCCTACATCAATCTTAATTCACAGCACTATGAGCAAAGAGGAAGAAGGTTTATATTTTGTTTGTTTTCTGGGAAGATGACTCAGCTAGTTCAGAACTTGCTGTATAAAGATGAGGACCTCAGTTTGAATTCCCAGAACCCATGTAAAGTCTGAAGTGGTAGCATGTATCTGTAATCTTGGTGCTCCTGGGGGAAGTGGAAGTCAGAGACACAGTGCCTGGAAGCTCTCATGCTAGCTAGCCTGGTG